TGATGAGGGAAAAAGAGTGAGTGGTGCACTTAGGAGTCTGTGGAGACAAAGAACTTTGTCCTTGGAGGCAAAGAGGGGAATGTATGAGAGTATAGTTTTACCAACGCTCTTATATGGGTGTGAAGCGTGGGTGATGAATGTTGCAGCGAGGAGAAGGCTGGAGGCAGTGGAGATGTCATGTCTGAGGGCAATGTGTGGTGTGAATATAATGCAGAGAATTCGTAGTTTGGAAGTTAGGAGGAGGTGCGGGATTACCAAAACTGTTGTCCAGAGGGCTGAGGAAGGGTTGTTGAGGTGGTTCGGACATGTAGAGAGAATGGAGCGAAACAGAATGACTTCAAGAGTGTATCAGTCTGTAGTGGAAGGAAGGCGGGGTAGGGGTCGGCCTAGGAAGGGTTGGAGGGAGGGGGTAAAGGAGGTTTTGTGTGGCGAGGGGCTTGGACTTCCAGCAGGCATGCGTGAGCGTGTTTGATAGGAGTGAATGGAGACAAATGGTTTTTAATACTTGACGTGCTGTTGGAGTGTGAGCAAAGTAACATTTATGAAGGGATTCAGGGAAACCGGCAGGCCGGACTTGAGTCCTGGAGATGGGAAGTACAGTGCCTGCACTCTGAAGGAGGGGTGTTAATGTTGCAGTTTTAAAAACTGTAGTGTAAAGCACCCTTCTGGCAAGACAGTGATGGAGTGAATGATGGTGAAAGTTTTTCTTTTTCGGGCCACCCTGCCTTGGTGGGAATCGGCCGGTGTGATAATAAAAAAAAAATAATAAAATAACACAGAAAACACTTAATTGATACTCTACTAGTCATAAGGTGCATTATCCATTAAATGCTGAAGCTTTTCAAAAGAGGTTAACCGAAAATTATTCAACAGGAATAAATTTCACACTATTTTACATATAAAATTGTCAAACCTGTACTCACACATTTGAAATTCATTCTCCACCACCACCATATTTTGTGGCACCTTTTGTGAGCATTGAAGTCATACCACCAGGGATTTTGGAAGTTATCTGAGCCATTCCAGGATCCTGTGAATGAGCTCAGCAACTTTGATAATAGGGCATGTGAAGATGCTAATTGTTCCAAGAGTTTGGTCCTCGTTACTGTGTACAGAGGACCTTCGGCCAACGATGTTAATCCGTTCCAGAGAGCTTATCTTTAGGCAAATTTATTGTTAGTCGAATTAATTTTCCCCATAAGAAATAATGGAAATCCAATTAATCCGTTCCAGACAGCCAAAAGTATTAAAATTTATTTTTTTTTCATGAAATATACATTTCCCTACAAAGAAAACAATGAGACATGCACAATAGCTACATAAATAAATGTTAAAATGACACTTAACTTTATTGAAGAGTATTGGTGAGTGATGAGACACTGTTTTTCTTGAACACTGGGATTTTCAGAGTGATACATGAGTAAAGGCTTCACTTTGCAATCCCCACTAGCATTACAACAAAACATAAGAGTTAGCCTGTTGTGTCCTGGGGGTGCCTTTTCCTCCTGAGTAATGTAGGTCTTGTTTGGCATTTTCTTCCAGAACAGGCCTGTTTCATCACAATTAAACACTAGTTGGGGTTGGAATTTTTCAGCTTCGCCATGCCTTATCACACTGTGTATGCCACTACGATTCTTAAATCTCTCAAACCAACCTTTGCTGGCCTTAACCCTTTCAGGGTCCACAGGCCCTCTCAGAGACTTGTTCTCAGGGTCCCCCAAATTTAAAAAAAAAAAAAAAACAATTTTTTCTATGAAAAGATAGTTTTTTTTTTCTTAACATTATAGGCTAAACAAAAAATTTTTACCATAAATACTTACCAAGATATGGAGGCGTGAAGTTGACAGAAAATGCCCCATGTATGGTATCATCGCCGACTGCCGTCACCTGGTGTTATTTGTTTTTGTTTTTTAGGTACTATTTTCTATTATTTTTTAATTTTTTTTTCCAATTAACTTTTATGGCCTGTGAGACCAATAGTAGCACTATTTTATAAGTTTTTTCTCTTTATTTACTACACAGCAATTCCACAAACACTGTTGTCCTTATATTGTTTATAATTGTTGTTTTCACACACATACGATATAAAATGTTGTTTATTACTATTTTTCTATATTTTATATACACATATACAGTCACAGGGAATGTTTCTAGAAGTTGTGCAGCCTGTGGAAGTCTTTGAAACATGGTGTCATGCACAGTGGTGTTTTGCACTCCTCACACATAAAATGAGTGTCTCTGCGTTGTTGTGGGCGTTTTTTTGTATGTTCACAGACGTAACACTTCTTCTGAACCTTTTTCTTGAAAGCAGTAGCAGGCAGTTTTACTAGGAAGTGATCACCATGCTTCAGACGAGAAGGTAGTTGTTGATAATTTAGTGGGCGGTCTATTGCAGGTGTTGTTTCTTGGTACTTGAATACTATTTGTCTGATGACAGACAAACAGAATTCGCCATATGATGGTTTGTTTCTGGTCCTCATCTTATACATATTATAAGCATTGAGCATGGAAATGTCCAGAAGATGGAGAAAGAGTTTTATGTACCACTTATAACTCTTGCGAACACAATCAGCAAACCCAATCTGCATGTCACATTTGTCCACTGAGTGCATATTGAGGCTGTAATCAATCACAGCTGCAGGTTTTAGAATGGGTTCATTGCTTTCTCTATGCTGCCTGCCAGTGTTTGTTATTTTGTTAGGGTGAACTGATGACAACAGTGTGACATCTCGTTTGTCATGCCACCGAAATGCCATGATGTCATTGGCAGCAAACACCTGAACCTCACCTGTACGATTGCCAGCGTCAAACCTGGGCATATGTTTATGATTTGCACGCACTGTGCCACACACATCTGTCATGTTCACTTGCAAAAAGTCACTGAGTAAGGGGCTTGTGTACCAGTTATCAGTATATAATATATGCCCCTTACCAAGGTATGGTTCTATCATTGTTCTAACCACATCACCAGAGATGCCCAATAACTTCCTGGTAATGTATTTTGCAATGTAGAACTTCCAGTGTACACAATAATATCCAGTACCAGACCACTGTAACAATCACAAAGCACAAACAACTTTATATCAAAGCGTTTCCTCTTGCTTGGTATGTACTGCATGAAAGAGTCTTCCTTTGAACAGAATCAAAGACTCGTCAATTACAAGCTTCCTGAAGGGGTAAAAATACATACTGAATTTCTCTTTCAGATACACAAACACATTCCTAATCTTATATAACCTCTCGTTTCTGTCAGGCCTGGTTTTGTCTGAGAAGTGAAACATACGTAATAGTAGCACAAATCGATTCACTGGCATTATATCACTGAAACCTGGGGTTGCAATCAGGTGGTCTGTTGACTAGTATGATTTCACACTGTGCTTATACATGTACACATGTGGCATAAGCATTATTGTGGCAAAGAAAAGATACATCTCAGCCACAGTTGTCTCCTTCCACCTGTGTAGCCATGAGCTTGGTGAAAGTATTGTGTTTGTCATGGTGTACTTGTAGTATCTGTTGCATTCCAGAGTAGTAGTCAACAGAGTAAAGTCTGAGGCGGCTACGGTGAAAAGCTCTGTTCCACAAAGCACAGTATTCGCTCCCATCTTGTTTCTCATCCTCATATCTGACATAGACAAGGATGTCAGCCACAGCACTGTGTCTTCCTTTGCAGATGACACCTGAATCTGCATGACAGTGTCTTCCATTGCAGACGCTGCAAGGCTCCAGGAGGACATCAACCAAACCAAACCATACCCCCGGCCGGGATTGAACCCGCGGTCATAGAGTCTCAAATCTTTCAATGGGCTGCAGAAAACAATATGAAGTTCAACGATGAGAAATTTCATTTACTTCGATATGGTAAACATGAGGAAATTGAAACTTCATCAGAGTACAAAACAAATTCCGGCCACAAAATAGAGCGAAAAACCAACGTCAAAGACCTGGGAGTGATCATGTCGGAGGATCTCACCTTCAAGAACCATAACATTGTATCAATCGCTTCTGCTAGAAAAATGACAGGATGGATAATGAGAACCTTCAAAACTAGGGATGCCAAGCCCATGATGACACTCTTCAGGTCACTTGTTCTATCTAGGCTGGAATATTGCTGCACACTAACAGCACCTTTCAAGGCAGGTGAAATTGTTGACCTAGAAAATGTACAGAGAACCTTCATGGCGTGCATAATGGAGATAAAACACCTCAATTACTGGGAGCGCTTGAAGTTCCTGAACCTGTACTCCCTGGAATGCAGGCGGGAGAGATACATGATTATATACACCTGGAAAATCCTAGAGGGACTAGTAGCAAACTTGTAGACGAAAATCACTCACAACGAAAGCAAAAGACTCGGCAGACGATGCAACATCCCCCAATGAAAAGCAGGGGTGTCACTAGCACGTTAAGAGACAATACAATAAGTGTCAGGGGCCCGAGACTGTTCAGCTGCCTCCCAACATACGTAAGGGGGATTACCAATAGACCCCTGGCTGTCTTCAAGCAGGCACTGGACAAGCACCTAAAGTCGGTACCTGACCAGCTGGGCTGTGGCTCGTACGTTGGATTGCATGCAGCCAGCAGTAACAGCCTGGTTGATCAGGCTTTGATCCACCATGAGGCCTGGTCACAGACCATGCCGCAGGGGCGTTGACCCCCGGAACTCTCTCCAGGTAAACTCCAGGTAACAAGGTGAATGTATATCACATATGTGTTGGGAATTATTGATTGAAATAAAACACCTCACAACAGTGGCTTTGCATAAAGTGAGGGAATCTACAAGTATATGAAGTTCATTAATGTTTTCTTCTTTATGAGACGGAAATAATTTTGCATTTGCATACTACTGAGTACTGTATTTAAAGTATGCAAGGATCAGCAGTGGTCATGATGTTTGCAAGAGCATCTGAAAATGGCCTGTGGACCCAAACCTAATTACATACCTACTAAATGTAAATTAAATAAAATTAGGTGTTTGTAATTATATATTTTGTTTTCAGGGTAAGGACACATTGGTACGATGGCTAGAGGTGGTAACTACTGTAGTGGACCAGCTGTACTTTCCTGTGGAACACCTGGCTTGGGCTCGAGACATGAAGGTGTTCCGAGGAAGCTCAGCCTCACTCTGGCATGCATCTCTTCTCTTGTGGGGACTCTCCCTTATTTTAACAATATTAAGGTTAGTACCTAACATTATTTGTCTAGGAAAACATGGCAGATTTTAACGTGTAACTTTATTTCTGACGATGCAATACACTGTATAACAGCCCACTGAAGAAAAGTAGTGAGTAAGAAGGCTGTAAAAAAAAATATTAATTTTTCAGAGACCAAATAATTTTTATACATAGATAATTATAGTGGCTAAGAGTTTGTTTCCTACCACAGTACATTTCGAACTGATTAAAAAATGAAATTAAGTTTAAAATTTTTATTTCTTTGTATAGTAAACAATATGTAGTCTACATGTAATAAAATAATGTTAAACACAAAGATTGATCTCAGGATAAATTTGAAAACCATATCATATCTGCCGTATACTACACTGCAGGATGTCACTGAAATCTTTCAGCTAACACCCAAAAACTTATTTATTGCTAGGTGATCATGGGCGGTGAGTGTGAAGAGACATAAGACAAATGAAGCAGTACAGTCAACCTACTGGCTTATGCCAGGGCAGGTAGGGTAAAACAGTGCAGGCAGAGCAGGCCAGGGTAGAGACATACATTGCAGGCAAAAGCAGGCTGGGGCAGGTAGAGCAAGGTAAATCAAGCAGGGAAGAGGAGGCAGGGTAGGACAGGACAGATTAGGTAAGGCAGGACAGGCTTTGGCAGGCAGGGAGAGAAGAAGCGAGTGCAGGGCAAGGCAGGCAAGTCCAGGCAAGGCAAGGCAAGGCAAGGCAAGGCAAGGCAAGGCAAGGCAAGGCAAGGCAAGGCAAGGCAAGGCAAGGCAAGGCAAAGCAGGCAGGGGAGTGCAAGTAGAAGAGGACAGAGCAGGGCAGGGCATAGCAAGGCAGGCAGAGTTTGGTAAAGAATTGTAGGCTTAATATTTACGCTCTTTTGCCACAATCTCCTGTTGCCAGCATCTGGTACACGTACACTCTCCCTCCCTCCCTCCTCTGCCTGCCTTCCTTCCTTCCTTTCACTTCTCCATCCCCCATCATTCCCACTCACCCTGTCTTATCTCTGGGCTGAGGTCCACCCATGTGTTCCAGTCATCATCATATGTATATCTATCTCAAATTTTTCACTGCAACTCAAAACTAGGTCAGGATAGTACAAATTATACTCAGTAACATGATGCACAATTCACAATAGTATAAGAGTTAATGTTTGAAGAAAACATGAAAGTAATTGATAATAATGGCGGTGACAATTTGTATAAAATATACAAAATAAAGTGATTAAGTATGGTAGTAAGTGTATACCAAAATGAAAAAGAAAAAATGAAGGAGGGAATTGATTAGCAAGAAATATATTTAATTTTTTCAGCAAACTGGCTGTATCCCACTGAGGCAGGGTGACCTAAAAAGAAAAATGAGGGTTTCTCTTTTTAAATTTAGTAATGTATACAGGAGAAGGGGTTACTAGTCCCCTGCTCCAGGTCTTACGACACACATGGCTTACGGAGGAAGAATTCTTTTTCATTTCCCCATGGAGATAAGCGAAAATAAACAAGAACTATTAAGAATTTTTTTTACATAATAGTAGGATTGCTGGTGTCATTTTCTGTCTCATAAACATGCAAGATTTCAGGTACATCTTGCTACTTCTACTTACACTTAGGTAATACTGCACTTGCATAAACAAGCATATACAGTAGGGCCCTACTTATACGGCAGGTCAGGTTCCAGGCTACCGCCATAAAGCGGAAATCGCCGTAAAGTGGAACACCCTTTTTTTTTACTTACAAATGCATATAAATGCTAGATAACAGGTTTACACTAATGTATATTAAATTAACAATAGAACTAGTCATTAAAAAACACAATAAAAAGTAAAATACACACACAATACACTTATTATTTACCCTAAAATATTAATATGAATGTGTGAGAGGTGAGTGGCATTGTAAAAGTTTTTGTATGTCAGCAAAAAGTCACCTTGTCTTACTTTTTTGGGTTATCCTAGGTTCTCTATACACATGCTGCTATATGTAACTGTATTTGATGGCTATCATAGCCATCGACATACCTTGTTAATAAGTATGTAAGTTTATTTAAGTATACACAAATACAATTACAAAGATTATCATACATATGTGTAGAGAACCTAGGATAATCCAAGAAAGTCAGTTCACTAAGTTTAATAATTTCTAACTTGACACCTAAAATAAGAGGCTTACAACTCTTCTTTTTATCACAACTAAGCTTAGACACCATCGTCAGCGAGAGCCAACTAGTTAACGAAATAGTAAATGAGAGAGAATGAGATACATGGAGTTTAGACAATGTAAAACACAGACTGAACGGGTGGTGGGCGATCACTCGTTCAGGCTAAATAAATGCGTATTAATACGTGTCAAATTTTAGTTCATTCACATACATTTGTAAGAGTTTGTGAAACTTTTACCTCACAATATTTTTTTTTATTATTATAATAATAATTACCTCACAATGCAAATACTCTGGCATTGTGTACAAGTTGTACAAGTTAGTACATAAGAATAAACAGCAACACTCCCATTCTCATGCAAAACACCATTTTGAGTGAATGATGATTTTATTATTATTATTATTGTTATTATTATAATCATAATAAAAAAGAAATGCTAAACCCACATGGGTCATGAATAGCTAGAGATAGAGTGAAGGCATATGAAAGGAATATTTTTCTGCAGTTATCCCCCAGTAGCTGGTGTTGGACTAGAGAAAACTTAATTCTTCCGACACTCCTGCAGGCCGCTTTGTGGGTGTATGTATCATGTTTGTGTTATGTAAAGTGTTTCTTATATAATTTTGAAAAAAATCATAGATTAATGGAAATGTCTATATTAACATAATATATGACATTTAATGCACCTAAGAGATTATTATTATTATTATTATTATTAAGTCTATAGTGGAAGGAAGGCGGGGTAGGGGTCGGCCTAGGAAAGGTTGGAGGGAGGGGGTAAAGGAGGTTTTGTGTGCGAGGGGCTTGGACTTCCAGCAGGCATGCATGAGCGTGTTTGATAGGAGTGAATGGAGACAAATGGTTTTTAATACTTGACGTGCTGTTGGAGTGTGAGCAAAGTAACATTTATGAAGGGATTCAGGGAAACCGGCAGGCCGGACTTGAGTCCTGGAGATGGGAAGTACAGTGCCTGCACTCTGAAGGAGAGGTGTTAATGTTGCAGTTTAAAAACTGTAGTGTAAAGCACCCTTCTGGCAAGACAATGATGGAGTGAATGATGGTGAAAGTTATTCTTTTTCGGGCCACCCTGCCTTGGTGGGAATCGGCCAGTGTGTTAATAATAATAAAAAAATTATTATTATTATTATGGCATCTTCAAGAGTAGAGACTCTTAGTGATTTTAACAGTGTGTAAGTATATTTAGGTACAGGTACACATAAGTATAATATCAGAGTACATATAAAATATGCAATAACCTTAAAACACTTGAAATTTTGGAAAGCTTCCAGACACAGTAGAGATGTACTCTTGGAGAATGTAGACAAACTGGGTGGGGCATGGTGACCGCATTAGAAAGACAGGTGGGGGAGCCGTATAGTGAGTTTTGGTCATAATTTGAAATGTCTGTATTAGCGGAATGCCATAAAGTGAAGTACTGTAAAGTGGGGCCCTACTGTATATATACAGTGGACCCCCGCATACCGTACGCATCGCATACCATTCAATCTGCATACCGCTCGCTTTTATCGCAAAAATTTTGCCTCGCATACCGCCCAAAAACCCGCTCACCGCTCTTCGTCCGAGACGCGTCCAATGTGCGCCCTTAGCCAGCCTCACATGTGCCGCCGGTGGCATTCTTTACCAGCCAGCCTCCGCGGTAACATCCAAGCATACAATCGGAACATTTCGTATTATTACAGTGTTTTTGGTGATTTTTTCTGGAAAATAAGTGACCATAGGCCCCAAGAAAGCTTCTAGTGCCAACCCTACAGCAATAAGGGTGAGAATTACTATAGAGATGAAGAAAAAGATCATTGATAAGTATGAAAGTGGAGTGCGTGTCTCCGAGCTGGCCAGGTTGTATAATAAACCCCAATCAACCATCGCTACTATTGGTGGTACAGCTGCTGCTGCTGCTGTACCACCGTCAGCTGCTGCTGCTGCTGTAGTACCATCTGCTGCTGCTGTAGCATTGTCTGCTGCTGCTGTAGCACTGTCAGCTGCTGCTGCTGTTGTACCACCGTCAGCTGCTGCTGCTGTAGTACTGTCTGCTGCTGCTGTAGTACCGTCTGCTGCTGCTGTAGCATCGTCTGCTGCTGCTGTATCACTGTCAGCTGCTGCTGCTGCTGCTGTAGCACCGTTGTTGGTGTGGCTTATTGAGAATACCAAGAAACAATTAACCCCAGAGGATTTGCCACCCAGGATAACCCAAAAAAGTCAGTGTCATCGAAGACTGTCTAACTTATTTCCATTGGGGTCCTTAATCTTGTCTCCCAGGATGCAACCCACACCAGTCGACTAACACCCAGGTGAACAGGGAAAAATGCCTGGAACTAGTGCTCATATTGGTGAATTTAAAGCCAGCAAAGGTTGGTTTGAGAGATATAAGAATCGTAGTGGCATACACAGTGTGATAAGGCATGTTCTGGAAGAAAATGCCAAACAGGACCTACAGTACTCAGGAGGAAAAGGCACTCCCAGGACACAGTGTCTCATCAGTCATTGCTGCATCTTCAATAAAGGTAAGTGTCATTTATTCTTCATTTAGTAGAGTAGTACATGCACAATATATATTGTGCATGTACTACTCTACTATTGTGCATGTATCCTTCTCTTTGTGTGTAGGAAAATGTATATTTCATGTGGTAAAATTTTTTTTTTCATACTTTTGGGTGTCTTGCATGGATTAATTTGATTTCCATTATTTCTTATGGGGAAAATTCATTCGCATACCGATCATTTCGCATAACAATCAGCCCTCTTGCACGGATTAAAGTCGCTATGCAGGGGTCCACTGTATATACACACACACTCCTCTTGGTTTTCTTCTATTTCCTTACTAGTTTTT